CCAATTAAATCAGAACAATTAAAATCAGAATCTCTGTGGGACATTTTTTTTTTTTTTTAAAAAAAGCTTCCCCAGCAATTCTATTGTCAGTGAGTTGTAAATCACTGCTCAACAGAACCTCTTATGAAGCAAAAACATAAAGAAAAATAAGCCGGGCACAGTGGCTCACGCCTGTAATCTCAGCATTGTGGAAGGCAGAGGTGGACAGATCACCTGAGGTCAGGAGTTCAAGACCAGCCTTGGCAACATGGTGAAATCCCATCTCCACTAAAAATACAAAAATTAGCCGGGTATGGTGACACGTGCCTGTAATCTCAGCTACATGGGAGGCTGAAGCACGAGAATCACTTGAACCAGGGAGGCAGAGGCTGCAGTGAGCAAAGATCGTGCCATTGTACTCTAGCCTAGGTGACAGAGTGAGCCTCTGTCTCAAAAAAAAAAAAAAAAAGGAAAAGTACACGAAGTATAGGGACATGGGGAATAAGTTAAAAATCAAAAGGACTCACTCGCTGCTTTCTAACATCTTTTACTTCTTGACCTTTCGAAACATCCAAAAATTAGTAATATAATCTGTGTCACAATCTTAACAGTTAAGAAAAACCATAAAATGAAGGCCTAGAAAGATCTTTGTTACTCATCTAGAATTATTTGGTATAACAGTATTTTCCAATGGAGGAAGACTATTGGATTTCAGGCATAAAACAATGCAGAAAAAAATCTCAAGGCATCACAGGGAGAGGGAGATAACTTCTGACTCTGGTTTCCTGTGTTTCAGGCCAGGAAGAGCAAGGGGAGAAAAATATCTGTCCATGGGAACAAGTAATCATGCTTTAAAGGACAATTTCATTCGAACCCATTCATTTCCTTTTCATGCAAAATTTCAAAGATAAAGCAACATAAAATATGGGGCCAAAGAAAAGAGAGAAGGTCTTTAAGGAGAATTTGTGCCTTTAAGTTTTTACTGGTACAACAGTCCTTCAGCCTGGAGGTACTCAAAGACGAATCATGAAAAAGAAGAAAAAACTTTATTTCAAGCAGGTTCAGTGATATATGTGTGTACTACAGCAAAGGCTGGTTGTGGCAAAGTTTCATTTCAAACTGTATGATGTGGGCTGGGCAAGGTGGCTCACGCCTGTAACCCCAGCACTTTGTGAGGCCGAGGTGGGCTGATCACCCTGAGGTCAGGAGAGACTGGCCTGGCCAACATGCCGAAACCCCGTCTCTACTAATAATACAAAAATTAGCTAGGTGTGGTGGCGCGCACCTGTAATCTCAGCTCCTCGGGAGGCTGAGGCAGGAGAATCCCTTGAACCCAGGAGGTGGAGGTTGCGGATCACGCCACTGCACTCCAGCCTGGGTGACAGAGCCAGACTCAAAAACAAAAGAAAATAAAACAAACAAAAAAACCAAAACTGTATGATGTATAATTTTGACATTATGTGGGAACGCTTGACTTCTGCCAAAATGTAGATTCAATCCAATATTATGCCAATTTTTATATTCACTGTAGTCCCTAAATTTTCATAACCAAAAAAAAAAAGAGAATAACCTTACAGTTACCTACTAAGGTAACGAACTGTGAAATCAATTCCCCAATATTGCTTTGAAAATAAACCCCTTGGTTGTTAAGAGAAATTCCAACTTCCAACTCCATCCGAATGTATTATTTAACCGGTATTCTTCAGTCATCATCTACTGTTGGCTTGATTGTCACTCCTCTTCTTATCTGACCCCAACCAATTAAACTGCAAAATGAAAACAAAAGAAATCATAAATCTTACATCCATTTCACTCTCATTACCACACAATCGTATGATAAATTTTACCTGCTTATCTTCTGAATTCAAATTTGTTCCCAAAGCCTGCTCCTCCATAAAGAAAGCCTACATTATATTCTTAGATTCTTTTTTATTCTTGCTTTTTTGTTTTTGTGGTTTTTTTTGAGACAGTCACTCTGTCACCCAGTCTGGAGTACGGTGGTGCGATTTCGGCTCACTGCAACCTCCGGCTCCCGGGTTCAAACAGTTCTCGTGCCTCAGCCTCCCGAGCAGCTGGGATTACAGGCATGCGCCACCATGCCCGGCTAATTTTTTGGTATTTTTAGTAGAGATGGAGTTTCACTATGTTGGCCAGGCTAGTCTCAAACTCCTGGCCTCAAGTGATCCGCCCACCTCAGCCTCACAAAGTGCTGGGCTTACAGGCATGAGCCATCGTGCCCGGCCTGAAAGTTTATTGTTTAAATCTATTTTAAAATACACTGGAAGTCGTATGTCTGCAATAGCAAAAAAATATATAATCACAAAAGAGAGTAAAATCAAAAGGGCATAAACCACCACAAATAATTATTTACTTAAGAGACAACAAAAATTTAACTTTCTAAATTACAGGGCAATAATTCAGATAAATCTCCTGGACAAGTGATGAGACCATCATGGGCACAGTAGCATGGAAGCCTTAACAAAGGAAACAGGGCTGGGCGGGGTGGCTCATGTCTATAATCCCAACACTTTAAGAGGCTGAGGTGGGAGGATGGCTTGAGGCCAGGAGTTTGAGATCATGCTGGGCAACACAGTGAGACGTGTCTACACGAGACAGTGAGAAGTGTCTACAAAAAACAAAAAAAATCAGCTGGTCATGGTGGTGTGAGCCTATAGTCCTAGCTACTTAGACACTGAGGCTGCAGTGAGCTATGATCAAGCCACTAAACTCCAGCCTGGTCAACAGAGAGACCCTGCCTCTAAAAAATATAAAATAAATAATTAAGGAAGTAGATAGTGGGCAGGGGTGATCTGAATAATTATGGGGACAGTCAGGGCACAAAATAGTCTAATTTAGAGGGTTTATATAAGACAATGCAGAAGGAAAGGTTAAATGGGTTGAAGCAGGTTTCTAGAAAAGTCCCAAATATCAAAAAGTAGTGAGAAGCCTCTAGAAATTATTAAACACAGCATGATGAAAATGTTTTAAGAAAACTAATTTTGACCAAGCTCTTAAGTAATAAAGAGGCAAACTAGGGGTCTTTCACACTAACTGTGAAGTGTAAAGTGATGGTGGTATGGACTGTGATGATGTGACAAGGAATGTAAAGCAAGGGGCAAATTCAATAACTAACCTGGAAAGAGCAAAAAGTCAGGAGCCAAAAATGTGTGTATGCTTCCTGGGTCTATGCTCTCAAAAGACCTAGAAGCAATAGCACCCTAGGAGCAATGAGCACACCTGAACACTCAGCTTTCCATTTCTAAGAGAAATGGCCAGTTCTAAAACTGGAACAGAGAAGGTACAAGACGAGTCTGGAAGATACTGTGCCAGAAAATAAGGAAATGTTCCAAAAAAAGAAGAGGTTGGGCATGGTGGCTCACGCCTGTAATCCTAGCACTTTGGGAGGCCAAGGAAGGCGGATCACCTGAGGTCAGGGGTTCGAGACCAGGCTGGCCAATGTGGTGAAACCCCATCTCTACTGAAAATACAAAAATTAACTGGGCACGGTGGCACGTGCCTGTAGTCCCAGCTACCTGGGAGGCTGAGGCAGGAGAATCGCTTGAACCTGGAAGACAGAGGCTGCAGTGAGCTCAGATCACGCCACTGCACTCCAGCCTGGCGACAGAGCGAGACTCCGTCTCAAAAAAAAAAAAAAAAAAAGGAAAAAAAAATGATGAATACATGTCAAAAGGACATAAGAGCCAGCCTGAAGGACCTCCACTGGCCAAACGTTGAAAAATGCACATGAAAATAAAGGAAGACAGTGATGGATCATAACATGTTGGATAAAATGGGACTCCATGAGTCCATATTATAACTAGATAGGGAAATAAATAACGGCAAAGAAAGAACGCCAAATGATAAATGTGGGGTGGTAGAGTTGAGGGAGGATACTGTGACCTGTAGAGGTGCTATGATTTTGTAATCATTATAGTCAAGTTCGATTCAGGCAAGAATCATCAGTGGATGCTACATCCAGGGGTGTGGGATTCGATAAGCAGCAGGCTATTCGTATTGGCTGAAAAGATCTCCCTACAGATTGCTTACTAGTTGCAAGGGTAGAGAGTAACTACACAGTAGAGAGGCTGGACAACATCTTGACTACATAGTCAAAACTAACCTTAATAAAGAGGAGCAGTCAGATATCATGTGCCTCTAGCTGTGATTCCTGAGAAGGAGACTTCACAGTGTATTTAACTTAAGAACCTGAATCTAATGTTACACTTCCGAACCATAAGAAAAACCCAAATTGAGGAATATTCTATAAAGTAACTAGCTTGTATTCTTCAGAACTGTTAATGTCAATTAAGACAAAGGCTGAAAAAGCTCCAGATTAAATATCAAAGAGACATAAAATTAAATGCAATGCATGATTTTAAACAGGAGGAACATAAAGTACGTTATTGGGATAAGTAATAAAACTGAAACATGCACTGTAGATTTCAGTATTTTGCCAATGTTAAATTTCTAAGTGCTTATATAAGAGTATCCTTTTTTGATGGGAAATATACACTGAAGTATTAAGAGATCAAGAAGCATAACATATATAGCCTACCCTCAAATGGTTCAGGAAAAAACTTACATTTGTAAATAAATCTGTATGTGTATTTGTCAATCTAGGAAAAGGCTATAGAGGAGTTTTCTGTAAAATTCTTGCAATTTTTCTATTAAGTGTGAAATGATTTCCAAAGTCAATGACAATAGAAATACTGAACCCAAATTCATTCGGTTTTGCATAGGTTGTGTCTAACAGGCAGAGAAGCCAATCACAGTATTTGGACTAAAATATGGGACTACAGTCAAAGTTGTAGTTTTTTCTGAGACGGAGTCTCGCTCTGTCGCCCAGGCTGGAGTGCAGTGGTGCCATCTCGGCTCACCTCACTGCAAGCTCCGCCTCCCAGGTTCACGCCATTCTCCTGCCTCAGCCTCCCGAGTAGCTGGGACTACAGGCGCCCGCCACCACGCCCGGCTAATTTTTTGTATTTTTTAGTAGAGACAGGGTTTCACCGTGTTAGCCAGGATGGTCTTGATCTCCTGACCTCATGATCCGCCCGCCTTGGCCTCCCAAAGTGCTGGGATTACAGGCGTGAGCCACCGCACCCGGCCGAAGTATAGTTTTCAAAGTCATCCAAATAAATAGTTGAGACTGAAAGCCACAGTAACTGTTGTCCTCAAGGAAGAATGTGCTTTTTTTTTCTGTACAACAAGACTGCGTCTTTTTTTAATTAGACAGTGGCAAAGACTAACAAACTTACCGCCAGTGTTTTTCAACTCTTCGGCTAAGGGCAATTTTTTCTCCTACCTCTGTGCACACTGGATTGGTCAAAACAATTTTACCCAAATCGGCCTTGACAGCACTAACTCTCCCTCCTGTCGACAGGGATCCTATGTTCACCATGAGCACTTCATTCTTAGACAGCTTTTGAACCTAGAAAAATAAATTAGGGAAAAATAAATCCCAAAATCAAGAAAATGCTTTCCAAATATAAGTAAGAATTTACCAAATACTATGGGAAATACGTCAATCATAAAAGAAAAAAAATTCTATATAAATTTTATTGTAAAGGAATTTGAACTATATACAGTCTAAAGACAGCAAAAGGAAGGTTTATTTGGCACCCACTGAACTTACACAAGATCCACCTGTACAAAATAAGGTAGGAACCATACCAAAGAACCTCTTAAAATTCTGAAGCAGTTACCTAGTACAAACGAGGTACAAAATTTCCCAAAGTGGGGAATGGGGAGGACTATGGCTATATAAGAGTTAACATGGGCCAGGCGCAGTGGCACACGCCTGTAATCCCAGCACTTTGGTTGGGAGGCTGAGGAGAGCAGATCACTTGGGGTGGGGGGAGAGGTATGATTGCTTATTTTCCTAAATCTTTGCCAACACTAGGTGTCAGCAATTTCCCATCTCTGCCAACCTAATCTGGGACATTTTTTAATAATCATGAAGCTGGGCACAGTGGATCACACCTGTAATCCCAGCACTTTGGAAGGCTGGGGTGGGCAGATTGCTTAAGCCCAGGAGTTGGGAGATCAGCCTGGGTAACACGGCAAAACTCCGTCTCTACAAAAAATACAAAATTAGCCAGACGTGGTGGCCCGCACCTGTAGTCCCATCTACTCAGGAGGTTAAGGTGGGAGGATGGCTTGAGCTGGGAGATCGAGGCTGCTGTGAGTCAAGATCGCACCACTGCACTCCAGCCTGGGCAACAGAGCAAGACTCTCAAAATAAACAACAAAAAAATCATATCGATTTTAGGAATATCATGTCTTTGTCATAAATGGCAAATACTTTTCCCTGTTTTTTAAGTTTCTTTCTTAAACTGACTGCCATATAGTTCTCAATTTTGGCCGGATGCAGTGGCACATGCCTGTAATCCCAGCACTTTGGAAGGCCGATGCGGGTGGATCACTTGAGGTCAGGAGGTCAAGATCAGCCTGGCTAACATATAGTGAAACCCCATCACTACTAAAAAATACAAAAATTAGTTGGGCGTGCTGGTGCATGCCTATAGTCCCATATACTTGGGAAACCGAGGCAGGTGAATCGCTTGAACCCAGGAGGCGGAGGTTGCCATGAGCTGAGATCGTGCCACTGCACTCCAGCCTGGGCAACAGAGCAAGACTC